CTATTTGAAAAACTAATACACATAAATCAGGGGGCAAAAAATATTTTTATTTCATTCTTAACCCCAATTGTTTACTAATGGGGTGTGTGCACCCATTGGGTTCTATATAATGTCAAAAACCTTGGAGTCACCCTTGGATACTGCCACATCATTTTCTGTTCCACATTGACTTTCTTTTCTTTTCTTTTTTTGATGGGACTGGGCTTTGAACTCAGGGCTTCATGCTTGCAATCCACATTGACTTTTGTTTAGTTCTTGCTTCTATTACAGAAACCATCAGAAGTCCAGTTATACAAAAACATTATTAAATGTAACACAGCACAATCTAATGTTGATTCTTTGAACCACTTCATGATAGTTAGAACAGATGTCAAACATTGTGTTTCCCTCAAAGACCTGAATGTCTGTCAGCAGTCCTGTGAGCACTGTGGCACTCTGAGGTACCTCAGGGCATAGTCTGAAAACCATAGATTTAGGGAGTCTGTCTCTTTGTATAACAAACCTCCTTAAGTAGTGTTTGAAAGCTTGGGACAATTGAACAGAGGTCATCTGACTTAGTCACAGGAAAAGGACTTGAATCTTATTCACAATTTGGGGATATATACAGAGGAGGCACAGTCTGGGAGTTCAGATGTTGGAAGCCAACTTGCAGAAATGGGACATTGAGAGAAAATCACTAGCAGAGAATGTGCAAGTCTAGCAGGATGAACCAGACTCAGCAGAAGGCCAAACTATTGTAGAAAGTGATGCTTCCAGGCACGTTGTAGGGTGATGCTTTATCTTGTACTACCATTCATAGCACCACTATCCCACACCACTGAGCCTTGGTGCCCTGGAAAGGTGATGAAAATAAAACCTTATCACCAACATCCAAACAACCTGACTCTAGGACCATCCTATAGGAAATGGACAACAAGGTGAAGGTGTCTCCCTTCCAGCCTTAAGTGATGGAAGCTTGATGTCAGTCCCAAGAAGTTGCAGAGGTAAAGGCTAGGCCAGCTCTACGAGGAATATAAGGTAGGGAAACAGATAAACAGACTTGGAGAGGGTGGTCCTGATTACACATATAGCATTCTTTCCCCCATACCAGCCCCTGCATTCAGAGCTTCTAGAGAAGCACAAGCAAAGGCAGAGTTGAATTCATCTTCTTACTACCTGTCATATCTAGGGACAAGGTTCACATTGTCCAGAGGACTTTTCAAGCCACACTACAACCCATTCTGATATGCCTCCCTGGGGGCAGGAGGCACCATATGTTTGGGGATCCTCCAGGCTGAAAATCACCAGAGCTGTGAGTCACTGTTGTTTCTCTTTTGAATGTGTCAGTTTTTTTGTTTGTTTGTTCAGATGTAAAACAGACCTAGAACCACTGTATTTGTGACTCTACCTAGGATCAGCATATGGATGGGGCTTAGGACACTTTTGGATTCACCTTAGCTCATTCAGCAAAATAAGTGGTGTGGACCTACAGTGGATCAGGCGCTATTATAGGTAACAAAAGTGAAGATAGGAGCTGTTGTTTAATGGGCATAGAGTTTCAGGTTTGCAAAATGAGAAACAATGCAAAAATAACACTTAAAATGGACAATATGGTAAAAATTTATGTTAATGTGTTTTTAGCACAGTTTTTAAAAATGCAGTGAGGGCTCAGTGGTACAGCACTTGCCTAGCATGTGCAAGGTTCTGGATTTGATCCCCAGCATGACAAAACAAACAAACCAGGAGTGCTCCTTCTGGGAAATAAAAATTGTCAATTGACTGAGGACTTGCTGGTGGTAGGGGAGAGGAAGTCTTCAGTCAGAAAGAAAATAACATAGGTGGTTAACTTACAGATCATTATAACAAACTCTTGTTCCATAAGCAAGCTCTTTAACCTGCAGGAGCTTCTTGGAGGAGATAATGGAGGTTATTTTCCTATTGGATGTGCCGGAGTAGCAAGGGGTTGTGTATCTAGCCCAAGCTATGCAGGGTTCCTCCCATTCTCCTAGTTATTTTTGGTTTGTTGTTTCTTTCATCTAGTCGTTATTCACTTGCAATACCTCACTGGCCTGACAAGATTGGAAGATGGAAGCTAGAGGAAGCCCTGCCTGCTAATGTGCCTCAGACGGCCCGGGGTTAGACAGAAGCTGAGAGGACCCCCAGAGAGGAAAAAGATGTGTATAAAAGATGAGAGAAAGGAGCATCCCAGGAAGCTCTCTGTTTAGGAATGATCCAGCTGGACCCAAATCCCCATACACATAATCCCTAGCAAAAGGTTGTCCCCGCATCATGATGGCCCCGAAGTCACTGCAACGTGCAGAGATTGAAGAAGTGGGATGGAGAGAGGCGCCTACACGGGCTGCGTCCCTGCACATGGGAAGAGCCCTACATTTCTCCTCAGCGTCGGCCACTGAGCCACACTGAACTGGGTCCAGTAAACGTTTCCTGGGCAGTTGGAGGCGAGGGCGGAGCGAGGGAGAAGGGCGGCCGGCTAGAGAGGACAGACCAATTGCTTTGGAGGCGACTGAAAACAATCCGGGCTGCTCCACGAGAGACCTCGCGCGATTCCTCGAAAACCTCGGGATTTCCAAGCAGGAAGTCAAAGGGCGGGCGCTGGGCAGCTCCTGGCTTTCGAAACTGGACAGGCAAGGAGGGGAATTTGGCGGATTTATCGGTTCAGGACTAAATCAGAGGGGAAGCGAGATCCAGGCTCAGACCAGAAAACGCAAACTTACTTGCTGCCTATGGCACAAAAGCCGTTGCCTGGGAAACCGGAAGGAGGCGGAGCCGAATCTAGCTTAGAGTGACAGGAGCACGTCAGGGGGTGAAACTGTTTCCGGACCAGCGGACTGCGTACCCAGGGGCGTGACTTCCCTGTGACTGATAGGTCTGGCGGAGGGGCTTGAAGCTGATTGGCTTTACTGGGAGGAAAAGCCAATCGCCAGGAGTCTGATGCAGGACCCTATAGGGCCAGCTTCAACTCTGGCCTGTCTTTAGGATACCGACCTGCCTCAATTAGTCCCCGTGGTCCGAGAAGGGAGCTGGATGTGTCTGTCTACTTGACTCCCTCCCATGGCCAGGGTTCCAGCTTTCAAGCCATATTTCCCTTAGGATGTGGGCAGAGAGGGCTGTAAGTTTTTCTAGTCTTTAGCAATGGGCAGGGTGAGGATTCTGAAGCAGATGAGGCTAGGTGAAAGGAAGACTGGAGTGGGGGGGGAGGCCAATGACACCAGAAAAGGTTCCTGAAGTTTGAGCACTAGAAGAGGGGAGGCCCAAAGAACAACCGGGCAGAGTTAACTTTCAATGAGAAAGTGGTGCCGCTACCCAAATGCTGATTTCCGAGGAAAATTACAAGTATTTGGAGGCAATTTGGAGAATGTTTCTGGCTAGGATTTGCCCCTAGAGAGCCTGTGAACTGCTCTGTTGCTAACTTTTGCTGCATTTGAGAAACTGGTCTGGAACTAGAAAGGAAAGATAACAGGAAAGCACTTCTTCCCAAGTGGCCCCACTGGTGCCTTCCAGTTTTCTCTCTGACATGGTTTAGTATTATCTGCAGAGCACAGATAATTCTGTTACAAAACCTTCTTACCTGTTTTGTTTTGAAGATTGCTCCCTCCCACTCACTCCCCAAATGGGTTTACCCTACATGAATTCTCCAGTAAAATTGCAAGGCCTCTTTTCAAGGAACTCCCAAAGACCAAATCTGAACTTCAGGAAGGGGCTTCCAGAGTGACCCAGGCCTGGGTTCAATTCCTAGCACTGCCAAAATCCAGGGCTCCTACTGGCTTGGTGGAAGATACTGGTCTGATTGACAGGATGGGATGAAATTGAAACTGGTCACCTAAGTGTTGTCCCATATTTAATCAAGAATGGGGTTATTTGCTTATTTGAGAGGCTATTAAGCTCTCAAATTTTGAAACTCCTTTTAGTGGATTTAGTAAAAGGTTGTATACACCTGACCTGTCAGTTTTGCTGGTCTGTAAACAATCTGAGCCCAGGGAGAAAGTGCCCTAGAACATTAAAGGAACCAGAAAAATGACCTCAGCTAACAACAGGTGAGAGGAAGTACAGCACAGTGGCTTCAGAGCTCAGCTTATATCCTGCTCCCTGCTCCATCATCTCCTAATTGTGTAGTTGTGGGCAACTTTCTTAATGTCCTGAAACCTGTGTCTTTTCTAAGAACGGACATAACTCCTGTCTCACAAAGATGGTTGTGAAGATTAAAAGAGATAATGGACTTAAAGCACTTGGCTTTGTTGAGCCTGAGACCACCCAGCAGGACTCGGAACAAAAGCTGGTGTCCCTGCTTCCCAGACAAGTAAACCTCTACTTAACCCAAAACGAGTGATTGACCCAGGTAAAGGTTCACCTATGGCTGCAGTAAGGCTATTCAGCTCTAAAGGTTTTTCTTTACCACCTAATTTAAGAGTTTTGGGCTGAAAAAGGGGAGATTTGAGCTATTTCCTCACAAAGAGTGGGGAATGGCAGTCCTTTTCCCTTCCCCCTCTCTAGAGGCATCCTTGGGGAGCAGAGGTCACCACCCCATGCCAAATGTTTGAAGGAAACCAAGAAATTCAGAGCCTGAGTTGATACATACATATGTGATCAGCCCCACTAGTGAAGAAGGAAATGAAGGTAGAACTTCATCTTCACAAGGAATAAAATGTGCCAATGAGAAGATGGATTTTTCTAAACTCAGAGTGCCCTCTGCTGGGAGATGAGGCTCCCTACAGACAGAGACTAGGCTTGGGGGAGGGAAGGAAAGGCTTCAGGCAGGAGGCTCCTGGGCACTCACAAAATGGAACAAGTGGAGATTAAGAGATAGGTTGCCAGAGGTGGTAGCTCACAGCTGTAATCCTAGCTATTTGGGAGACTGAGATTGGGAGGATCACAGTTTGAGGCCAGCTTAGGCAAATAGTTCTTGAGACCCCCATCTCCAAAATAACCAGAGTAAAATAAACTGGAGCTGTGATTCAAGCAGTAAAGCACCTGCTTTGCAGCTGTGAAACACTGAGTTCAAACTTCAGTCCCACCAAAAAAAAAGAAGTAGACAGGTTTGCAGTTTATTGACTAACCATGCTATTTATCACTGGGGAAGGTGAAATAGGGGGAGCAGAAAGTGGACTCAGGACCCCACTGGGGCCTTTTTGTCTGTTCCACCCACCTCTCAGCCAGAGGTCATGGGAGTTGGAGTCGAGCTCTGACTATACTCTGGATTCACTAGTCCCCATGCCAACCCCAAACCCATCTTCCATTTGGTCCAGTCATTGAGGCCTGAGACCGTCCTCTTCTTGGGGGTGAGGGCAGACAGAGGGTAGGGCTAGGCCGAAAGGAAAAGGAAGGGCTGGAGGCATAGTTCAGTGGTAGAGCACTTGCCTAGCATATGTCAGGTCTTGGTTCAATCCCTAGTATTGCCAAAAAAGAAAAAGAAAAAGGAAAAGGAAAAGGAAAGAAAGGGAAGATGCTAAAGAGAGGGTTACAGTGACTAGCTAACAAGGGTCAATGGAGCACAATATTCCCTGTCTATGTATTGTGCACATGAGGCCTGTAGAGTTTAAGCAGCATTCCCACGTGTTCCTCTGTGAGTGGGTGTGGATGGTGGCAGCTCTGGAAGGGGAACGCCTGCTGTGCCTGCATGGCTGGTTGGGGAGGAGTTGGATTGTCAGATTTCTATTTGAGATCATGATATCAAAGCAGACCAAGAACTCCAAAGGTTGTACATAAAGGTGCCCACATTGTAGTGTGGAGGACATGGGAGAAGCAGCAAGTACAGGATACCGACACTGCTTTGTTCTGGTTGAGGAGAGAAAACAGCCATTCTAGGATGTGGAAGATGGTCTTGGGATGCATAATTCCCCTGTCTTCCAGATCCCAACATGGCTTCTCCTGCCAGCCCAGGTCCTGAGCCAGCTTAGGGAGCTGGGTCTCAGAAACCTGAAGGATCCAGGCCAGTTTGGCCTGCTTATGTCCCTCAGTCTCTGTCCTGAGATCTCAGGACTCCTGTGTTCAGAAGGGGTGAGGTGCTGTCAGAAATGCCTTGGCAGAGAAGAATATAAGGAAGGAAATCCCACCTGTAACTTGGCTTGCTGGTAGGTGAGCAGAAGGCCGAGGAAGGAAGCCAGCTATCAGAACATCCCAAGACAGCATGTCTGCTCTTAACTTCTGGGACCAAATGGTAAACACATACATGTATCGCATGTATGTACTAGACACACGAGCACAGAACGTGTTCAAAGTCTTCTCTTTGAAACCAGAGAAGAGAGGAAAAAGGCTAAGGGGGTGCCTCCCCCAGCCTACTAGATTGTTGGTCTCAATAACTGCTCCCCCACCAAGCCCCCTGTCCAGTACCAGCAGATGGATAAGTGGCAGAGGTGGCAAGGTGGCACAGAGCAGCAGCCCAAAGAGGTAAGGAAGGGGACAGAGGCTGACCCTTCTCAAAGCCCCTTGTTGTAGAAAACCACCTCGATGCTGGGGTTTTGCTCATGGATCTGAGTTCTCAGCTCCGGCTCCAGCCTGGTCACATGTATGGAGCTGCAACAGAACAGCACAGGCCAGCTGAATGTCCCTTGGACTCAACCACTCAGGCCCAGAGGTTACCATCTCTCTCCTCCCAGGTTCATCTCCTACTTTTAGAAGGTCTGGCTCACTATCATTTCTCCCACCCTCAAATCAATTGAGTACCTGCCAGATCTTCCTGGAACACACTAAGGGCCTGAAAATCAGTTGGTCCAGAGACACAGAGACCTGTTCAGAGTTCCCAGCCAAACCTGGGGACAGCACTTACCTCTTCTGGGGGAACAAGGCACAGCACAGAGGGGTGGCAAATACCAGGCTGGGAGAGAAGAGCATTGGAAATAATTGAGAAACTTTGGCCTGAGAGTGTTCCTTCCTTGTATCCACCCATGGAGATGGCCTCTGAGGGGTGTTATTTTTCAGTGCTGAGTATCAAAACCCAGGGTCATGTCCTTACCACGCAAGTGCTTTGCCACTAAGCTACACCTCAGCCGTAGGAGTGGGGATTGGAGCCAAAGGATCTTTTAGGAACATTAAGTCCAGCCCTGACCTTAGGTTCTGGCTGAGGAAAGATCCTCCCAAGCACCAGTCCTAAGCCCCATGACAGAAAGTGGCAGAATCAGGAATGAAATGGGCTAGAAACTCCTGGATGGTGTCAAAGGGTATATTTCCATGGTTTCCTCTGGTGGATAAAGAATGGAACCCCTCAACTAAACTCTTGATCTTTAAGGATAGGAACTACCCCCTTACACACACAGTATGCCCTTCAGATGTCCAAGATACCACCCGAATGAGTGAATGATGTATGTAAACATCTCAAAGGCAATAAATACCTGCCACACCCACCACGGAAAGGCACTCACACATGCTCCCAGCTAACTCCTTGCACACTTACCAGAAGCCTACCAGTCCCACCTGCAGGGGTGCCCCCAGCCAGGGGCGGTGCTGTGGGGAGACAGAGACAATGGAATGGCTGTGTGCCCTGCCTCCCTAACCTCCATCCCATTTTACCCACCATGGTTCTGTCCCAACAGCCCTTCCTTTGAGCCCTTGGACACATGGCCCTCTCTCCCAAGCCCATGATAGGGTTGGGACCTCCAGAGAGCAGCCTTCTACTCCAGCCAGGCCTGCTTCCTGACATCCCATCACACATTCTTACCTCTCAATATTGGTTCCCCTGACCCTCTTTCTCTTCCCTCACTTCCTCCAGTAGCTTCTTTCTTCAGGAAGTTGCCTCTGAACCTCCACTCACTTCTCATCCCAGCGGCATTAATCCATCCCTTTCCAAACACATCTGCTCAGCACACCTTTCTCCATTTGATCCAGCCACACGGACCACCATTTTGTTCCCTAAATGTGCATGCCTGTTCCTGTCTCAAGGCTTTTGCATTATCTGTTTTCTCGGCCTGAAACACTCTATTCTGAGCTCTTTGCCTGGCTGTCTCCTTCTCATTCTTTGGGTCTTTAGAGGACCCTTCTCTGATCACCCTATCTAAATTGTTCACCCCCATCAGTCTCAATTAATTACACTGCCTCACTGGCTTCCTACAAAGAACACTTCACAACTTATAATGACACACTTATTGGTTGCTTCTTTATTGGTTTCTTCACTAGACTATAAACCTTATAAGGTCAGAGACTATCAAAGAACTATCTCATTCTGCTCTGTATTCTGAGCCCTCAAACATGTCTGATGCATAATTTGTGCTCAGTGAATATTTGTAAATAAATGATTCAATGAATAAGCCAGAGCCTGTATTTCTATGCCTTGCTTCCCTCTGTTCTGTCATGTGTGTACGTGTGTGTGTGATATATTAGGTGACATCATGAGTATGATATCAAGTGTGACTATGTTTCTTTAAGACAGAAGTCATTTCCTTCCTTCCCTGTCTTCTCCTATCCCTCAGTGTTCCTTCCTTCCACCCAAGTCATTCTTTCTGAATGAATGAAGGGCAGGAGAAGGAGTGGCAACTCTTAAGACTCAGGCCCAGCTGGAGAGAGGACTGGGTGGGGACTGGCCACTTCTCCCAGACACCACCACTTTCAGGATAGGACAGGTGAGTCACCTACCTTCAGGAAGTCTTTCTTCTCCAAAGTGTTCATGATCACTGGGGGAATAGCTGAGGAGAAAGCAAGGGAGGGAAAGAGGGAGTAGTGGAGTGAAAGTTGGGAGCCCTAAGGAAGGGGCACTCCCCTCACAGCTCCTTCCAGAGTCTTATTCCCCCTAAATCCTCAAAAGCCCTTAAGAACCACTTCTTTCAGCACCTCCCATGCCCCACCCAGCCACCCCTGCCTCACCCATAGCAGGAATTGCCATGCAGACTCTCGATATCACCACCTGGACGATTCCCTGCTTGGCTGCAGTCACCGAATGGCCAAGCCTCTGACCTGCCTCATCAGTCACTGGAATGCCCACCTGCAACTCCCTAAAAAGAGAAGGGGGCTAGGGTAGATTACAAGCCCCAAGTCCTACCTGGACTTATACATCCTATACTCAAAGGTTGGTTCTCCCACCCAAGGATCCTAAGGCATATGGCTTCAGCTTGATATAACTGCAGCCATCTTGAGTCATAACCAACCATGAATGTCCTTGAGTGACCTTGGTAGGTTTTCCCTGCAGCTTCCCAGAATACTATAAACAAAACTATTAGAGTGGTGTGAAGAGCTTTATGACCCAGACCCTGGTGTTGTCACTGCCTAATGTGCCTAACGTCCTTGATATTGACTTAAGATAAATCAGATGTGCTTTGGCTGACCAGAATAATAGCCCCCTTTCTTCTGACCCAAATAGTGGGGTCCACTGGTCTTACTGCTCTTAGGGCCACACTCCCATCAGTAAACCCTCAGTCATTTGTACTCTGTAATTCTGGGTTTGTCTTCCTCCTTCAGCTTCATGGCAACATGGGGCTGGTTTTTAATCACTGGAATCAGTTTTTCCAGAATAGAGGGTCAGGGCTGGTGGAGTGGCTTAAGTAATAGAGCACCTGCCGGGCAAGTGTGAGGCTCTGAGTTCAAACCCCAGTAACACTTCCCCCCAAAAAGAACAGAATACAGGGGCAGTCTGATTCAGGTCCTAACTTCTCGTGTCCAGTGAGGAAGAGGATTTTCCCCACTCTGGACTGGAGTGCATGGCTGGCTGATTTGCCACACTCATACTGGGCATGCCTGTGCCAGGAGCCAGGGTCACTCACCTCTGCCTCATCAGGGGGATGTTGATGCAGTTGGCAGCAGCCACAGCTGCAAAGGGCACAAATCTACCAGCCAAGGGAGGTAGATGCTGGGGATGGAAAGGCATTGGTCAGTGTCCCTGAGGGCCATGTGATGGGGAGGAGATTCTTGGGAGAGATCCAGGGAACCTGTAGGTCAGGACTTGGAGTGTAGCAGGAAGAAGGTGAGTACAGGATGAAAGGGGAGGCAGTGAAGGGAGGAGCCTTTACCTTGGTGAGGGATTTGAGTCCCAGAGCCGTGGCCACAGCCCCAGTGGTGGCACTCACATATGCTGTTCCCAGCTGCCTGTGGGTGGAAGAGCCAGGTCACAAGGGAGAGATGAAGATTTCTGCATGTGGCTGTTTCCTTCAGGGAGATGCCAAATCCTCAATGATAAGGTGTAGGAGGGTGGCCTCATTGCAAAGAAAGCCTTCCCCAGCTCCAGTGTAAGCACATATGGAACTCCTACTCCCTCCCTCTAAAGAGGCATGGGTCCCTCAAAATATACCAGAGGACCTCATGCCCTCAATTAGGTGGGACAGTGGCCAGGAGGGAGGATTTTGTTGAGAGGAGCACTGAGCCACTGGCACAAGAGCCCACGGGTATCAGGAACGACAAGAAGAGTTCACAGTGGGTTGGGGGAGAGGATGCTGCTCCTCTTTCTGGGATCTGGTTCTCACCGCATAGAGATGGGAGTGTCGCCACTTCGGTTGGAGTAGTTAACAATGGCATTGAAAGATTGATTCACCCACTGCCAGAACACCACAGTTGGGGTCTTCCTGAGGGAACAAAGATTCAGTTCTTACTCTTGCCCTTTCTACAGTGTCTCCCATCCCCCAGTTCTTGAACTCTTATAATGAAATCTCAACGCCTACTCCAAACCCTCATGAGGGAGCCAGTTGTGACCCCTGAACCTGTCCTGGTAACCCCTGCAGACCCCTCTTACACAAATGGACTCAGTGTCTGTAGGGTGGTAGAACTCCTGAGGCTGAGTTCTGAAGAATGGGAAAGATTCTAACAAATACTCCCACCTACCACTATTCTCTACCCAAAGGGGCCACACAGGAAACACATAATCACCAAGATGGGCTCCAGTGCAGAGCACTCAGCAAGGGAACACGGGATACAGACCTACCTGTAGAAGGTGAGCATGCATCCAGTGATGGTCATGTTCATCGGCACCTGGGCTGACATGCGGCCAATCAGGACCACCTTCTCCCCTGTGTCCGGATGGAAGGCAGAGTCACACACATACTTGGCCCTCCACAGCTGGTCCTCTGTGAGCCCTGGGGTCGCCACACCAGCCCTGAGGAAGTCGACAAGATGCTGACAGGCTGCTCTAGAGGGCAGATCTGCCTTCCCAGGCTGTCTGCTCTGCTCAGGGAACTCTGGGCAGAGGACCAGGTACTTTGTCCCCAATCTCAGAGTAAAGAAGCTCCTCATCTCTGGGAAAAGCCAAAGCTTCCCAGAAGCCGAGTTTCCTATTTTTATTTTCCTTCTAGCCACATGTTTTCTGCTGGGTCATAGGTGATGGTGGGTTTCCAATGGGTCCAAAATGCCTGAGGGCATTACAAACGTTTTTCCTCCTGAAGACAAGAGGGATGTCCTCCTACCTCCTTGGGATTCTGCTTTGAGCCTGTTCATTCTTGTAGAGAGTGGACCAGCAGTGAGAGGATTTGTGAAGGACAGAGCTGTCTCTCACCCGTAAATATAATGGTGCCCCCTCAACCTAAATAGCTTAAAATACTTTGGGTTAAAGCTCTGTGCTGGACTTGGAAGCATGGCTCAATTGGAGCACTTGCCTAGCAAGTGTGAAGTCCTGAGTGCAAATCCCAGTACCACCAATAACCAATAACAAAAGCAAAAAACCTCTGTACTGTAGTTGTCTGTGGTAGGCAAGAGAGTGAGGGGGTTGAGGAAAGCAAGTGGGTCACTCCAAAGCTTGGGGAAGCAGCTATTGAGCACATTACATTAATGACAGAAAATGAGACCCTTACGGTACAGGTTTGAATGGTGGGGTCACCTGTAATTCTGCACAATGTTCCGGGAAGCTTCCAGCTGTGCCCCAGATAACAGCAGATTTCGTGGATCAGTAACAGTGAAGAAGTGCCGGGCTCTGCCTTGGAAAGTGCTTTGGTCCCAGCGAGGTTCCTGGATGTTGATATCTAAGGGCAAGTCACCCATTTTCTGCAAGACAAAGCCAAGGGCTACATCCAAGAGCTTCACCTGGGGGAAGCTTTGGTGGCCCTGGCCTGGTCCTTGAGCCTATGGCCAGTTCCTTCAAGAGCTCAAGGCGACTCCAGGTAAGAGTGGGAGAGGAGTTGTTTCTTAGGTAATGTCCTTGCCAGGGACCTACACCCACTGGAGGAGGGGGAGGGGAAGACCAGAACCAGGAAAATACATTTCCTTGGGCTTTGGCCTGGTGCAGATTTTCATGGGTGAGGATTTACATATGTGTGGTTGATATATGAGCAGCAATTAATCGTGACAGCTACTTGTCTAAAATACAAAAGTCTAAAATACATGCATTACACACCCATGCCTGTATCAGCTTCAGGCTCCAGCTGCCCTAAGACCTACATAAACCCCAAAGGCTGTTTGGGAAGACAGCAAAAGACATCCCACACTCCTGTCCCTGATTGGAGGACAGCAAGGGTTCACTGGCCACCTGAGGGCTTATCTGCTCCAGATCTCAAAAAAGGGAACTCTGATGGTAACTGTTTGTGTACACTCGGCATGTATATGTCCCCTCTCCAAACACAACTTCCCAAACCCACATGGAATGACCTAAGGTTCTCCATGGTCCCTGGCTGGGCAGGGCTGGCAACAGATACCCATGCATTGCTCTCTGAGCCACCTACCTGGAGAAAGTGTGGGATTCTGCAGATGCCCCCTCCACCCAGCACAGAGAGGAAAGCCGGAGGCAGCCATCTGGCTGCGCTAGGCAAAATCCTGCAGAGTGACTAATCCCCTCCGACCCCACTTCCTCCCTCACAGGCTGACACACCCGACTCTCTCTCACACACTCACATACCCACACACAAAGACAGGCACGCCCTGCCCAGACACACAAACAGGGTGGACACACCCGGTATACCCCAGTAACAAGGAGCATTATACACACACACACACACACACACACATACACACCAAATCCATCAGTTTCAGACGCTTTAATGTGTGACCACACTCAGCTTCATCCTAACACTCCTTCCCCCTAGCCAACCTTCCATTGTGCTCCACGGACTT